TTATCCTTATGAGTGAAAACTTCTCCTGCTTTACCATATTTCTCATAGTTTTATTTCCTCTTCATTGATATCAGGGGGAAGACTGCCCACAAAGAGGTGGCTATATTGGGTAAATGTCTTCTCTCCTGGTTTCCTAAAATTCTTCAGGTCAATAGTCAAACCTTCATTTTAGCTACAGGCCTGTTACCATTTGCAGGTATTGGTGGTGACAGTGGCGGCTGCTGCTCTTGCTCCCTTGGAGTATGGTTCTGCTTCCCCAAGTTAAAGGTCTTATTGTTCTGCATTTTTATACCCTCAACTTGATTGAAGACACCAAAGTGTCTCCAGTCCTAACTTTGACTTCGCCAATACCAACAGTCCTCTCCACAGAGTAACTCCAGATTAGCATTTCTACATAGCATGACGAAGTAATTCTCAGAGTAAATGCAACCTGCTATATTTCTTTTTCTTTTTTTTTTTTTGGCTTTTGGCTGGGCTATTTTCTGTGGTATCAGTATTATCCTAAATTTGCTTGTTTTGGCTAAATCATAAAAGTTTTTTATGTTTTGAGGATTCAATTAGAATCTGACAACAGAATAAAACTACGTAACTGAGTAAACACCTTAGTGTGGAAAGAATGAGATAAAGAAGGTAGAGAACATATGATTGTGTCTTCTGAGATCTCATTGCACATTTCCTAAATAATAGAAATAAAAAATATTTAAAAATCAAGAGAAACTTTAGAACACCTAAGATGAATGTGTCTTGATTTTCAAAAGTGACAGAGAAGACAACTTCCAGAAAATGTAATTTCTGACTACATTTTCTCACTAAAATTTGAGATGGTCTAGCATGGTTATTCTCAACCCAATAAGCTCAAAGTTCTATAAACAATAAATATTTTATTTCTTATGCTATCCAGAAACATATAATCATTAACCACACTGTCAAAAAATAAAGATAACACCTTCAACTATCAACATAAACAAAAATTAAAGGACCTTATAGGGTACTTTAATAATTAAATTGGTAAGCTAGCACCATGTTATAGACATAGCAGTCACATACTGTATTTGCTTCTACTTATAATGAATCTGTTGTAATTAGGACAAATTGCACTCAGAGGCTGACATAGGATTCACAGGAGAATCACAAGTTCAAGCCTGGGCAACTCAGCAACCGTGTCTCACAAAGAATGGGCTGAGTACGTAGCTCCAGGTAAAGACCCTAGATTCAATCTCCTGCATAACACACACACACACACACACACACACACACACACACAAATACACAGACACAACACTTTTATTTTGACATTGACAATTTTAAATTAGGGCTTTCTTAGAACATTTGAACATATATAAAAACAATGACTATAAATGAGATGACAACGAATATAGATGACACAACAGTTAAATGTGAAAAATAGTTTGACATAGTTTTCACAGTGATGAACAACTCTTAGTAAAATTCTTAACAAAAAAGTATAATCCCTTCTTGTAGTTGCACTAGCAGAATCAGTGTATAAAACTATGTTCCCAACAGTTTGCATTTCTAAGCAGTTTATAATTAAGAGGTAGGATGAAGTAATCATAAACAGGCTTTACTGACATTGGGGCTTGGATCCAGGGCCTCATGCATGCTAAACAAGTGCTCTATTGTTGAGCAACATCCCCAGGCCTCTAATTATTACCCTATTTAGCTTTTCTCAGTATTTCTCATTTGCTATTTCATAGGAAAAAAATAAAGGGCATTCCTTTCCTAAATCTCAAAGTAAATGATATTTGTCTTTCTTTCTCTTCTACTTCAATAGTGCCACAATTCTTTCTCATGGCTAAATTGTACAAATTGTTCTGTGCTCTCTTGCTGCTTGTTGCCTGTCTATCCTTGCTCCAGTGCTTGCCCTTTCTTCTTCCCTTCGTGACCAAATTTTTTAAAGAATAGTCTATATTTGCACTGCTGGTTCAGTTCTAATGGGATATTCAGTGCCATATATTGAACTTTGAAATGTTCCACAATGTACTTGTTATTCAGTAAAATAAAATAACAATTAAAAAAATAAACAACCCTTACTGCTACACTAATGTCTAGTGGGAGATATAAAAGTCATTCAGGCTGCAAGGTAAGTCTTCATTGTGTAGGACTGGACTGTGCCTAGCAAGAGATGTACAGGATTCCTGATGCATTTCTCATCACTGCAACTCAGGATTATAACCCTCTTTAAATATTATGTATGCTTTCTGTGAAAGCCTGAGAGAATGTTTTCTCTCCATGTGACTAATTTTATCCTCTAGTATTATAGATGTAGGACAGTACTGTGTCACCTCTGTGAATGTAAAATATCTTGTACCTGCTTTACTGTGTGTTATAGTGACTGTTTTATTAGAGCTGCTATTAATGGTATTACTCTAGAATGTTTTCTTTACAGATGATGATTAAGAAGCTAATAAAAAATGATATACTAGCAATGGAAACAGAACTCTGCTGTTTTCTAGGTATTTTTTTTTTAATGGACTTTGCTAATTGTTTCTATAATTTTGTTTAGATGCTTGAAAAATCTGGAAAAGCCATTGTTGCTATTCACACCTAACAAAGCATATTGCTATTATTAATATATATATAAAATCTGATTTTTGGAAACATTTAGTGTGCTCTCAATTTTGGAAAAATTGATCCCAGTTTACCAGACTGAATTGGCATTGTACAGAAATTAAGACATATTTGTCTAGAAACATTAATTTTTCTCCATTTGTACAGGAGTAATGCACTGATTAAATATATAAGATCTTAATTATATGGGTTTGACTACAGAAAATAATAAAGTATTCACTCCAAAAAAAAAAGTATTATGTATGTCTCCCAAATTGCCTTTAGGTGGCAATGTTATCCTTGTTGTGGCTGTATGAGGGTGCTTTTATAGCAATGCCTTGTACATAAAATTTTTAGAAAACATCTTAAAGTTCTGCTTATGATCATCTCATCTTAGAAGGCACAAAAAGCAGGGACTATACTAATATTTAGCATTAACTCAAGGTATCAGTTATGTTGACTGTTTTCATTTAAATAGTTTAAAAAATAAATTTCAAAATAAATACATCAAATAAAAAACCAAAATAAAAATACATCACTGGTCACTATAATTCTACCAAATATTTTACTTTATCTGCCTTAATAATTAAAGCATCTCAGCTAACAATAAAAAAGTCTTAATTCTCTCAACTGCCTTGGAATAAATACAGGCCAAGGAAGATGAGTACAAGCCTTGGGACATATTTAATATATCAATTTAGCTCCCAGATGGGGATTCTAAATGCACTGTGGATGAAGCCTTAAGACTGCATCTGCCCCTCTACATAAATTCTATTCAACAAGTTAGGAAAAACTCTAACTACATCCCCAGGGACACACCTTTCAGCCATCTTGCTACTCACCCTGACCTGACACTCCCTGGTTCAAGTGTTCTTGTTGCCTTAGCCTTCCCAGTACTATTGACCAGGCCATACTAGAAAAAACAAAACAAAAACTTCTTTAATGGGAAAGGATCCTACCCTAGACCTAGATGTAGAATATAAAGGATTGCTTTGGCCTTGAAGGTACTTCATACTTGTCCAAAATGCACAACAAACAGGTTTATTTCCTTTTTGAAACTTGTAGATTTTTAAAAATGGAATCCAAATATATAGTGTTAAGGCACCTAGTCATGGGTCCCCTTCCCCCGTCCCAATTCCGATGTTTCCTGATGCCCCAACCACAACTGTACTACAAAGATTTAACCTTGACTGCGTCTGGCTGCTTAGGCATACAGCTTTGTTTCTGCTTGCTTCAAGGACTCTTATACTTTGTGCCCAGAACACCCTGGTCCAGCCAGGGACACTCTATGACTCCCCTTCCCCCGTTCTCACATGCTCATTGCTCTATAAAGTGCCTGCCTCCCCAGTCTTCGCTGCTGTTCAAGTCCACTGAGCAGCACAGCAGCTAGGCTGCTGTCAATAACCGCTTCTTTTATGCCACCTAACATGAGTGTGGTCTTGTGTGGGTCTTAGGGTGCTTTTTCCTGACAGTTTTCCTGCCACATAGTGAATGATACATTTCTGATAAAGCTCTTTGCGAATTTAGGAACCAGTTGTGCTTTCATTACTCATTTCTTCAAGCCATTTCAATATATTTTAAATAATTTGTGGCTCAGACTCGCAGTTATCTTCCTGTTTCAGCATCCCCCACGCTGGGACTACAGGCGTGTGCCACCATGCCCGATTTCTGGGCTGCTACGGCGCCCCCAGGATTCCGGGCCACCGTGGCGTGCAGTAACAGGGGATCGAACCCAGGTCCTTGCGCTTGCCAGGCAGGCGCTTATGCCACCGAGCCATCTCCCCAGCCCCAAGCCATTTCAATATTAGTGGGGAAAATTAATATCCAGCAGCATGCCTAATGGCATCTCCCTTAATTCTGGGAGACTGGCTTTCTGAGCTAGGCACGGGTCCACAGGTACCAAAATGTAAATCACAGCAAGAGAAATTAAGGGAAACGGATGTCGTTCTCATCCGAAAGTGGTCTGGTTACATTTAAAGCCTTTGTAGCCCTGGAATAGCAGAGCCTAAAGTAGGTCAGAAATGGACATTTTGGAAAGTAAAGAAAGATTAGCTGCCCCCTTGGCTCCCGAGGTCGTGCCCGTGTGGCCACCCCCTTTCCTGAGAAGTTGGGGAAAAGCAGGAGAGACAATGTAGGGCCTGCCGTACGCACCCTGCTCGCGTGGAATCCGCACCAGGCAGTCCACCATGCCTTTGTACCGCGCCTCGGGGCTGATCTGCTTGGACGACGCCTGCACCTGCAACAGCAGCTTCACCCGCTCGATGGGCGCCACGGCCGTCTTGGACACAGCCGCCGCGACACCACCAGCCAGCAGGTCTTTCCCAAAAGACGCAGCATCAAACAGTCGCTTTTCTGCCTTCTTCTCGGGCTTCTTCTTAGCAGGGTCCCGCTGCATCGTGAGGCGATGAATTTAAAATCCCCACAGGTGTACTTTAAAGCGAGGCCCAGACGCGGATTACGGAAAGCAGGAACCCGCTCGGCTTCGCTGTTTCCTGGCGGCACAGGGGCGCTAAGGACGCTGGGAGGTGCGCCCGCTCAGCAGCCACGACCCCCTGGAGCTGCGCAGGCGCGTCCAACGGCCTTCGGCCCTGCCTCCTGACACGTGACTGCCGGCACGTGGCTTTGGCCTGGTGGATCCTAGGGGCCTCTCGCACACGCGTACTCACGCACGTACGCACGTGCGGAGGCACGGGCTCCTCTGCGTGAAGCGGTCTGCGTGAAACGGAGGGGCGGAGGAGGAGGCTCCAAGCCAGAATGGCGCGGAAACGGCTCAGAGAATGGGTTGTGTGTGAGGAAATCAGCAGTGGAAACTGGGACAGACCAGTAAATCAAGTGAATGGGAATAAACAAATTTGATTGTGACCCATTTGTTTCTTCTTGGAAATCACATCATCTTTTCTTTTATACTGTTTCCTTCTTTCTTATCCCTATCCTCATCTCTTGTCCCATTCCTATTTGAGCATTTTCTTCCTGTTTCATAATACCTATTGTACATTCTGGCCGTTTTTCACACTTTCAGTTTCTCACACCGCAGAAACGCTGTAGTATTTACACAGGTGTGCCCAACATATTTCACTTAGGAGAATGGTCTCTAGGTATGTCCATTTACCAAGAAATGTCTCCAGTGTATCCCTCTTTATGGCATAGTAGTACTCCATCCTATAAAAACCCCACATCTTTATCCATTCATCAGTTGATGGGCATTTGGGCAGTTTCAAAGATTTGGCTATTACAAATTATACTGCTTACAGTAAATATTAGTGTGCATGTATCCCTAATATGCTTTTCATGGGAGGGGGAGGAAGATACCAAGGATGGGATTAGCTGGGTCAAATGAACTTCTAGTGCTAGTTCTAGTGCTTGCAGCAGTCTGCACTCCCACCAACAGTGGAGAAGGATTCCTTTTTCCCCACAGCTCTACTAAAATCTCATTTAATGTAGCAGGGATTATTGTCTAGACATCTTGCTGCTACCCCGCTAGGGTAATTCATCCTGTTCCCTCCTTTTTTTTTTGAGACAGGGTCTTGCTACGTAGGCCAGGCTGATCTAGAACTCTCAGTAATCCTCCTTCATCAGCTTCCACCAACTGCTGAGATTACAGACGTGTACCACTACACCAGGCAAGTATGTCATAGTATAACCTTTGCAGTGTTGTCATTAGCAAGAAAACTCCTGCAGGCCAGGATTCTGTTAAAAGCAGTTGGCAAGTTCTGTTCACATGTATTATATTTGAAGCTGCTTCCTTTTCACAGTGGCTTATTTTATTTTTTTAACTGGTGTTTAGGATCTTAACTTGTGTTTAGGATCTCTGGCCTGCTAGCCAGGCAACTATACCACTGAGCTGTATCCCCTGCCCAATTTGAGATAGGGTCTAAGTTGTTTAGGCTTGCTGGAATTTGTGATCCTCCTGCCTCAGCCTCCCAAGGAGCTGGGATTATAGCATGGACTATTGTATCTGGTTTATTCAGCTTTTAATTGGTTTTTAAGTATCTTACAGTTTTGCATGTTTTTGTCAAATGAATCATTATGAACCAATTGCTTAAGTCATCATTCCTAATATTAAAAACATTTAACCTACTGTACTGGCTTCACAGAGCTTTGTGAAGTCCACAGCAAATTCCAGAAATGTCAATCTTTTTATGTGCAAAAATCTGAAAAGTGAAAACATTCAGTTTCCTTTAAGGCAATCTGAAGCATTAACAAACACACAAGGGAAAATCTAAAGGGGAATTAATTGACTCAGGTAAGACTGAGTGCTAGGAAGAACCATTTCTGATTACAAGGAACGTAAGTATCTCTAAGGACAGAAATGTTCATTCTCCATCCCTCAAACCCCCACATTTGACTTGATGGTCAACATTGTAATATTTTGTGATGTTAAGCTTAATTTATGACATGTGTTCACTGACAAGTCACTGAGAAGTGAAAATAAGTAATCAGAAATGAAGTTTTTAACCTTAGGAAATCTGAATCTGCTCTTCAATAAGTGAGACTGAAAGTGTTTAATTTGCTACATTACGTTTTGTTTACTGATTAACAGGAGGAAAAAGCCCTAGCATTTATGTTGATACTAAAACAAAGTATAATCTGAGGGTTTCTGCCATATTTATTCATTTCTGCCAGAAAACAGCATGGTTAAGTTTCCTCACATCAGGGCTGGGGTCTCAGAACCTCTCCAGTAGCCACACTTTCTACCATACTTCATCTCCCATTTTATTGCTTCATTAATTTTTTTCTCTTATTTATTTATCTTGTCTGTTGTCTGCCTCTTCTATTGGAAGATAAATTCCATGAGGGAAGGAATCTTTAGCCTTATTTGTTCACTGCTGTATCTTCAGCAACCAGAGCAGTGCTTGGTAGAGGGGAGAAATTCAATATATATTTGTTGGAAATATGCATGAAAAGGCAACACAAATGCAGACAAGCCTCCAAACTATTTTATTTAAATCTATCAACACAGTATAAAAATAGCTTTAATTATATAGAATATAGACATATACTCTACAAAATTAACTCATTTCATGGTTTGGTACATATAGTTAAGGTTTAATACCATTTAATGTTTTAAAATAATCAAAACATAAATCCTTGTTTTCAAAACTGGTTAGTGATGGATATAATTTCTTAGTTTCTTCCCAACACACTGTACAGCAGCAAGTATGGTTTAGTTGACTCCCTTGGTTTCCAACAAATATATAGCTAATAACAATAAATAATAGTAATAGCTAACACTTTTTTAGCACACAATACAAACCAGTCATTAGAGAGACCACAACAAATAAGAAATAATGTTGAAAGAATTCTCCATTTATATTAGAAATAAAAGGCAAGTAGTACAGAATTATTATCTTGTAAAAAAAAAAAAAAAAACCTATTATCTTGTCAGTATGCATCATGCACTGAGGCTGGGAGGTGAAACAAAGCCATTACCTGCCCAACTGGGTGACCCAGCCTTACATACTGATCAATTGTTGATATTACTCCGCAGTACTCTTCTCTCAAAATGGTGTTAGGGATTGAACACTGGACCCAGAGCAGCCTGATTTGGTGCTACCACAAAGACATACCCACAACCCAGGGCACAACATCACAAGGAGAGAGACACTGAAAAACAAAAGTGGTGGAGATAACCATCCCTGCCAAAGTGACCGCAAAACAAAAGACAAATTATCATGAAAAAACAAGGCAATAATTTGCCTCCAAAAATGTGTAACTTCACTGAAGTGGATGAAATTCCAGACAAAGAACTTAAAGTCCTAATAGTTAAAATGATCGAGGAGATCAAAGAGGAAGTGCTGGAAGCTCAAGTACTGGAGGCATGTAGATCTCAAACAGACATGACCAGAAAAGAACTTTGCCACACACATCACACTCAAAACGCCAAAAATTCAGAACAAAGAAAGAATCCTGCAGTGGTTAAAAGGAAACACTAAATCACTGTTAAGGGCAAACCCATCATGAGAACAGTGGATTTCTCAACAGAAACCTTAAAGGCAAGGAAGACCTGGAGTGATATATTTCAAGCCCTGAAAGAAAAAAGATAACTGCCAAATCATGTAACTATGTCCTGGGAGGTATCATTCAAAACTGAAGGCCACATAAAGTCCATTCCCAACAAGTAAAAAACTTAAACTTAGGATCACAAAGCCAGCACTGCAGAAAATACCCAGGGCAGCAGTGGTGAACGTGTGGGAGACGAGGGCCCCAACTGCAACCCAAACATTTATCAGCAAGTGCCAACACTGCATTTAAGCCTTAGTATTGAAATTTTAGTTTTAAAAAACAATTCATATGTTAACATCTTTTGCCTTGAAAGAAAAGCAACACACATGCCATAGGCTTGCCACCACTGACTTAGGGAAATCCTAACCAGAGAAGACAACCACAACCACAACCACAAGAACTGGGGGAACAGATGACAATCATAAATGAATCAAACACTAGAACAACAACCAAGTGACAGGAATTAGCATATACTTTTCAATAATAACATTTCACGTAAATGTCCTTAATCCTCTAATTAAAAGACAGACTGGCAGACTAGATGAGAAAACAATACTTACCTATATGGTGCTTAACAGAAATATACATCATTGGTAAAGACATACATAGACTAAAGTGGTAAGATGGGCTGGGGAGCTAGCTCAGTAGAATATGCACTTGCCTGGCAAGTGCAAGGTCCTGAGTTCAGTCCCCAGTACTGCAAAAACAAACAAACAAAAAACAAAACAAAAAAATAAAAAAATAAATTAAAAAAATAATAAAAGTGGTAGGTTGGAAAATGACATTCCAAGCAGTTAGAAGATGCAAGCAAGCAGAAGTAGCCATACTTACACATAACAAAGTAGATTTCAAATTAAAATTGGTCACGAAAGACCAAAAGGCCTCTGTACACTAGTAAAAGGAGTAATTCACCACAAAGAGATGACAACTATAAATATATATGCACTGGATGTTGGCACAACCCCACTTCACAAAGCCAATACCACTTGACATGAAAGGACAGACAGGTAGCAGTAGAATCTACTGAGGGACTGAAATATCCTACGCTCACAAACACGCAGAACAACCAGACAAAGGACCTTACAGTTAAACTACACTTTGAGCAAATGGATTTAACAGATATGTACAAAGTGTCCCACTCAACAGCAGCAGCCTACACACTGTTTTCAACAACTCACAGAATTTTCTTCAAAACAGACCATATTTTAGCCCATAATGCAAGTCTCAAAAACTATTAAAAGCTTCAAATTATCTCATGGATCCTATCAGATTACAACTGAATGAAGCAAGAACCAATAGCCAAAACAAAAAATAAGGTAACAAACCTGAAACTTCACAAAAACATGAAAATTGACTAACATACACTTGAATGATAAGTGGGTCATTGAAGAAATTGGGAGAAATAAAGAATTTCTCACCATCAAGTTATAATGGAAACACAACATACCACAATCTATGGAACACTGAAAGCAGTTCTATGAAAAGAGTTTACAGCTAGAAGTGCCAGCAGTAGAAATTCTGAGAATGCTGCATCTCAAGGTCCTAATAAAACAAGAAAGAACAAACCCCAAACCAGCAGAATGGAAGAATAAAGATCAGAGTAGAATGTAATGAAATAGACTAAGTTACAACCGCCACCACTGAAATCCAGAAGATTATTAGAAACTATTTTGAAAACTTACATGCCAATAAATTGGAAAAAATTAGAATGATTAAATTCCTAGATTCATTTGATCTACCTACATTGAACCAAGACTGATAAAATCTAAGTAGACCTATAACAAGCAAATAAGTGTTTGTTACTGAT